AGAGCCTGCAAGGATCCCAACCCCATAATTGATGGCAGGAAGGCCAATGTCAATCTGGCCTACCTGGGTGCCAAACCCCGCAGCATACAGACAGGTGAGATATATATATATATATATATATATATATATATGTTGTTTCACACAGTTAAACCACCCACAAAACAAAAATCCAGAGCTGCAGCAGGTGTTCAAGAAAAATACAGATAAATATAAAGGCTCAAAGATAACACATGTACAACTTAAGTTAAAGAGATTCTGTATGCTCAAAGTTATGTAATACAGCTGTCAACAAATGTCCAGTTGTAGCATATTTAATTTTTACATACCAAACAACATTCTGTTTGTCGGACACATACACGTTTTACTGCTTATTGCGCATTTCAAACTGTTGTTCCAGTCGTGGTAGGTCTGAAACAGGCACTGCCTCTGTCTCTTCGTGCCCTCTGTGTATTGTTCTCTGGCCCTCCTCTGTAAATGCAAATGTGTGTCTGACAGCCGCCCTCCTATCTTCCAGGCATATCCATCGGAGTGCAGCCCATTCACCCAGCACTCATCCAGAGGCAGTACGGGTAAGTGAGCGGGAGTGGGCGCTTGTTTTATTCACTTGTATTACCCTTCTTTGGGATGCCACTAGGCTACTATTTCTTTGACAAACATGGCCTCTAGAAAGTACATGTCAGTTTCTGTGTCCACATGCAACTCCACGAGTAGTCTATTAGCATATTTGGGTTTTGTAGAGCTGGTAGGGCTTGGAGATGGTTCACATATCTGTGGTAATAGAAAAGCATTCCAGAGGTGAATGTGTGACTCACTTGTTGGCTTCTGTCAGGAGCTTCTTGACTCGCGTACCTGCCTGAGTGATTTCTGTCACTGAGAAGGCGTCCTAGAGGTGACTGTGTTGTAGAAACAGCCTGGGTAGCGTTGAGGACAACACGGTCTGCTGAGCAGCTAATGAGCATTTCACTGCAGTAATGACTCTCCTCACCCCCTGCAGCTCTCAGTATTCATCCCACACCACAGTTGATGGAACTGATCAACAGAAAACTAATCAACTATTTTGATGACTGTTTGTTCCACTCATCTATCCAGTATAAATTCAACAGTGTACTGGTTTTAGCTTCTTAGATTTGAGTATTTTCTGCTTCTGTGTTTTCCAATGTTTAACTGATTGTAAATTGAAGGTCTTAGAACCGTTCGTTAGACAAAAACAGCAATTCACCACGGCTGTTTTTTCACAGTTCTGTTTTTCTGATGTTTTACAGGCCAAATCCATTAATGGAAATAAATTATCAACCGATAATCTCTATAATGAAAATAATCAGTAGTTACAGCCAGAGATATTTTCAGGGTAGTGCAAATCGAGCTATTTGAATGTCAACTCACTGTTTGGAAGTTGTAACTATTGTTGACATTTCATGAGTGAAATGATCAGTTAATTAATCTAAAGCATAATTGGCAGATGAATATGCAATGAAATAATCAGTATTTGCAGCCCTATAGTATATAACCTCAGAGCGTGTGAGTACTTAAAGAGCTTCATGGAAATCCCAGCACAGTCCACTGGGACAAGGACAAAATAAGAAACATTTGGTGGTTTTTGGAGGTTACAAGTAGTGTATATCAGCCATACCCCCCTGTAAGATCTCACTGGGTCTGAATGATAAATCTCAGGGTCCGCTAGGGACGTGTCCCATCATTTCCCAAGACCTTAGGAGAACACTGGCAAGTCCCTCCAATGTCCATGCTACCATAGTGAACATGGATGGCCCCAAAACCCTGAGGGGTTGAAATGTGGAGCACAGTGCTGCTCTGAGGCATGTGCCTGACAGGTGCTGGCTCATATTACAGCTTTCTATACTCCCTTAATCTCCCATGACCACCACCCCAGAGACGTGGAAAAGCGCACATGGCACCTGTCCGCCTGCCTCCGAGCTCCCTCTGTATGGCGGGTGACAGACGCAGACCTCCCTAAGATGCAAAGCGTACAAGTGGCTTTTCTCTCAGCCTCTTGTCTCCCCCAAACCCCTTGACAACATATGGTGTGGTGACGTGGTCTGAGGTAGGATTTTGAACAGAGCAGGGGCATTGCATGTAGCAGTGGTGTGCTTGGTTTGGACTTACTGCTGTGTATGTCTGTGTATAGCTGTGGTCAGCAGATGCTGTGGACTGTGAGGGCCAGAGGGGGTCACTGAGGCCAGGAACATTGTTTTGATGGGGAGGGGAGGAGTTGTCAATGTGCTTACAGATTCATCTCCTCTCATGCATCACCTCCTCCACACTGTCCTTTTCCCTGTGCTTTCACATGTCATACATATCCCATGTCCTGTGTATCTCTTAGCACTGGGTTTTACTTTAATTTCTCCCATTAAAGGCCAACACTTCCAGCGTGTCGGATAAGCTGCATTTTCACTGCATGGTTCCAAGCGAGCTAAGCTTATACTAAAAGGTGACCTGCAAACATTGCAGACCCCTGATTGGTAGAGAGCAAGCGGTGAGCGTGAGCAGAGCAGTGAAGTAGTCAACCTGGCAGTAAATGTAGTGCAAGTGCGAACTGAGGGTTAAGGTGTACTATCTGCAGTGGAAATTACCAAAAACAAGTCCAGTCGAGCAGTGCCATGCGGTGGAAACGCGGCAATGGAGGCAATGAAAACTGACACCTCTGTGAGACTATGTGGGGGGGTGGGGGTGTCAAAGAGGAGATTGAGGGGGAGGGTATCTGGTTGTGTATTCTGGGACTAATGCTTAATGAGGCTGTGCGCTCCCTAGGAAACCCACCTCTACAGGTGCCAAACAATACACCTTTTTCCCCCTCCTGCTTTCAAAGAATATTCACAATCGTCTCAAACAAAGAGAGGAGGAGGAAGAAGGAATATCAAGTCCTCTTACAAGTATTGTGAGGTGTTGTTTAATTCCCCCACCCAGTCCAGCCCCGTCTGTTTTCACACTTTGCGTTGCAGTGAGTCATGCACTGAAGGTCATTTGTGTTATCGTGTAGAAATATTTAGCTGCTCTGTGTGATATCGCCCAGGCTTTTCACATCAGCTCATTAAGTGGCCTTCATGATGATGATTACTTCAGCCTCTATTCGTAATGTTTATGGGCATCAAATGTTTTGTGGCGAGCTTGTCTCTCTAGTGTCTCGGCCTGCCGTCCACAGAGTGGCACTATGTCAAATACACACAGACTGGCCGTCAGCACAAAACCAGCTGACCTATGATCTTCTGGCCGTCATCCTCATTCCCCTGCCATTGTCCCACAATCCACTTGGCATCTGGCATCTCTGTGGCCCCCGGGAGCTCACTACTGTCCCTGACTTGCCCCAGTCCCTCTTTTCTCTGTAGATAGAAGCTAAAATTACAGCGACCATCTCTATTCCTGTGCACACCAAAGATGTAAAACAGCAGTGCTTTGTCTTCCCTTAACTCCCTTTAGGCTTACATTATATACATGATTTCCTATTCCACTTTACCCACACAAGGGCGCTTGATTTTGAGCCTAGATTAAGGCAAACTGCCTGTGGTGACGCGCTGCCAAGGCCACGGAGAAGGCAGGCTCATTATACATGAAGCAAGTGAAAGCGCATATGCCCCGCAGCATTAATGTATGGTCATGTTTGAAAGCTGTGTGTGAGTGAATGCTTCTTTGTAAGCGGCTCAATAGCACTGCGAGCACAAAGTGTAGTTGGCGCTCAGGGGTGGGGGATTACATTCATTTGCTTATGGTTACTTGTTACATACCACCGTTGTCTGGTTTTATGTCCATCGCTCTCCAGATGTCTCAGTGAGCTTCTGTAACATGTTTCCAACACGCTGTTGGTTTAAAAAAAGAGGGCGTTTATGCAGGTTTAACCCTGCGATTTTATATTTGTAATGTTATATTATAGGTGGAATATTTCTTTTTTTTTTATTCTGAATGTTGGGGGTTTTGCTCATGCAACTCTTAAATATTTTTTTCCGTGAGATTCTATATTTCTGTACCCCCAATGCTTCTTGATCACATCTCTGTACTGACTTAATGATACAACTGGTTAATGTTATTGCTGACAATAATCACTGCCATCCTCCTATCCAACCTTCTGCCATGGCTGCTCTCTGCTGCCAGCTGACCAGTGTACCAGCAGAGGATCAGAAGATGCCCACAGTACAGGACTAGTCCCGAGGAGGCGTTTGACAGAAAATGTCTGCACCCCCCCCCATGCCCTCCCTCAGCTATCCTCTCTCCAAGGTGCCAGTGATGGCTTGAGAGTGCAGTGCGGTGTGCCGTGATGGATTGGAGTGGCTTTTTATCTTTTCCCTTTTGTGTGATATGAACTGAAGAGGTTATGCTGATTGCGGTGTGACTCTTTCCCTATTATGGCATGGTTTGGGGTTCGCACTGGTAACTGGTGTGTGGGTGGATGAAGGGGGGTGGGTGGGATTGGCGAGTCTGTGTGTTTTTTGAGAGCGTGATTGACATCCCTATCCTGCATGCTTCATCTTTTGCTGTGTTGAGCTTCTGGCTGGCCTCTCACTGCTGATCCTCTTCTTCTCTTGGGATTAAATCTTTAGAAAAAAAATAAAAACGAAGAAATTGAAATTTTAAATACAGTCCATGAAGGAAAATTTTCATTCAGAACTGAAGAGGCAGCTGAAAGAGTGTGTGTCAAAGTGACATTTGTCTTGTGACTATGTTGTCTTTGTCTTGGGGTGTGTGTCTGTGGATGTTTCCCCCAAAAGCATAGTATCAAGGGTAAAGTCAGTTACATCACCTTTTTAAAATGGAGGAGGAGGAGGGCGGGGTTGTGTGGGGGGTCTTCTCTCTGCCACAGCCATCCCTCCCAGGAGAGATACTTCAAGTCCTGAAAATAAAAATAGACTCCTCTAAAGCCTCCCCTCCCCCTTCCCCCTTTCCTCCGTGGTTAAAGTGGCAAAGTAAAAGACCGAAAGAGACGGAGAAAGGAGCCGTCCCCACGCCCACGGCCACAGCTCTAACAGCTAACATCGCAGGGCCAGCCATGAGGCCCCGCAGAGCCCCTGGCCGCCTCAGCCCCTGATGAGCTCCCCTGTCACCATTACTCCCCTGGCTAGCGATCGCACCTGTGATAGTCTGGCATGAGATTTACACACAAGTGAAGAACTAGAAGAACTGCAACTTCTCACCAGCCTTCACCCACACATTCCCCTTTTTGTGTGTGTGTGTGTGTGTGTGTGTGTGTTTAAGTGTTGTTCAATGGATGAAGAGCAGCAGTGTTAAAGAACACTCTGCTTATGCCTGAGCTTTGAAAACCTGGCCAGTAAACGGCTGACTCTATCATTCACGCCCCCCCCGCCCCACTCACCACACTCTCCTCCCCGTCTACCTCAGGAAGGCCCTAACCTAACAGGTTGGTAGGTTTTACTAACTGACACAGACAGAGGTTGAGTCCCTTCCGCACTCCTAGACCTCCTCTGCCGTCTCGTGTATTTACCCTTAATAACATGGATATCCGTGTGAGGACTTTTTAGGTTCAGGACACCTACAGAGAGTTTATTACCTCGCCCCCCTGGGAGCTATGTAACATAGAAGCCCTGGGATTCTCTGCCTGGTGCTTCAGCCCTCTTCTTATAAGCTCCCCCTGTTTGGGTCTTTGTTTTTGCAGTTGGGGCAGGCCATACGTCTTTACCCACAGCCCCTTTGTTGCAACCCAGCTTGGGTGCTGCCCACTCAGGTTTGCTCCTCCGTCCCCAGCACCAGCCCCTTTATGGGACTAACATGCAGCCCTACGCCAGTAAGCCCCAAGCAGCCCTTTGAACAGCAAGTACCATATGCCCCTCCCAGCCAACTTCCTTGGGCCTTACGCTACGCCACCCGAGGCTTCAGCCACCGCCGGCGGCCGCCGCCCACCACAGCCTCGGCACCGTTCCACCCAACCCTCCTCTGCTTGCTGGTCCCCCGGCCGGCTTCTGCACTATCCCCGCAGCAGCAACCATCAGCCGGACCCGTATGCAGTGAGCCGATGAAAAGGGAGCAAGAAGAAGGAGACGGTACAGGTGGGAGGGAAGGAGGGAGGGGAGGAGGGGTATGGAGGGGTAGTGGGGTCTGGACCTTTGGACAGAGGAATCAACAGCCCTACGGGGTGACCCACCTGTCCGTCAGCAGGGGCCTTTGGCCGGAAATAAGGTGGTACTATTGCCAAAAAGCTATACGATCACGAAGGGAGCTGTTTTTGCCTTCCATTGGTTAAAGGGTTGGGCTGGAGGACTGTCAGGTTTCAGGGTTTGGAAGCCTAACCAGCAATAAGTATGTGAAATCGCTTCCAAGGGCCCTTCCAAAGCTGACACTTTCCATTTTTTTTTTTTTAATTATTAATAATTATTAAATTTTAATGTCCCTTTGTTCTTTTATTATGTAAATGTTCTGTCAAGTTTGTTTTTTAGCCTATTATCATCAATTGTTTATGTTTGTTTTGGCTTCATCCAAGTGGAAGTTTTATGTGGGTGTTTCTTGTAACATATTTTGGAGCTTTAAGGAGAGCTTTTTCTGGGAACATGTACACCCTCTTTCCCTCCAAACTTTCAGCTATCTGGAATGAAGGGCAACTGCTGCTTTTAGGAAAACCATGGGAGGACAGTCCCAGGCTTTTGTGGGGGTTGGGCAGGTGAAGGACAGGGTGGTGGATTTTTGGGGAGCCATTCCAGCAAGCCCTTCTCAACTATCTGTTTGGGTTCCCATTTCCAGGTAGAGCACTTGCCTCATGAAACAAACTCCAGCGTTCGCTTTTCCGCACTGGAGTACGAAGAGAGGATTAA